TCCCTTTGGGGTCATCAGGTGTATAGTTGGAAGTGTCAAACAAATGTGAATTGAGTTTCATAAACGCATAAGTATCAAGTAAAGGTTCATGTGGAGGTGCATGTACATGCATGAACAAACTATCTGTGTCGGTCATCAAAAGGTAAAGTCTTTCGGGTCCATACTGTCTTTGCATGACATCATAATAGAAGGAGTAAATTTCTTATTTGGCTAGATCCAAGATGGTGAAGCCAACTGAAATTGGTTGATCTAAATGCAGGTTTAATTTCTCCAACTCTACAACAGTCACGTCTTCTGAAAAGATTTTAACCTGCTTGAAGTTACTTTTAGCTGCACATTTTCGAAGTTTGGGCCTCTGTGTCACCAACTGAACCGTTTAATGCTTTCGTTTATACATGCAGAACCGTCCAAACACACAATTGTTCATGAGTTCATAGCGATCTTTATCACAGTCATCCTTGGCATTTTTGCGGTTATTCAAATTAAGATCAATGTAAGGTTTCAACCATGACCCTTGACTAAACTTGAGCACTCTGTGTATTTTTGCACATATCAATCCATGTCTCAGATACAGCTGTAACGTTTTGAAGTGAACCACATAGTGTGAACGATCTTTCAGAGTAGTAAAGAGTTTTTTACCGGAAGATTTCTTTGAACGTTTACAGGATGATATTTTGGGTGGGTTAAAATGTGTTAACAGTTTCTTGTCAGCAGATGAAAACTCATCGTAGGGAATATCATCATGTGTAGGAGCCATTGGAAAGGCGGCATGAGCTTTGTGTAACTGTTTGGGGTACAACAAATCCACTTCAAGGATGTAACCTGTATCTCCTTCTGTATCTACAGTTGTCCAGTCAATGCTGCCATACTCCTCAGAACTGATGAACTGATAGTTTCCAATGGGGAGGGGTTGTAACATGACAGTTGCATATAGGGAGTTAACATCAAAGTAGAGAAGAAAAGAGGTGTCTATTATAGGAACAAAATCTGATAGGTGATGATTGTTAGCAACTGCATATTTCTTGCTAATCATAGACACTCCACCGCAAATGGAATTTACAATGAGATTGTAAGTATCTACATCAGTGAACAGATCAAGTTTGGTATCTGTGATTTTCATGGCAGCATCCACCCTGGCATTGAGTAATAATGACAAATATCAAGACCATAGTCTGTCAAACACCCTGTTCTGAATGTCTCTATGATGTCTGTTAATAGCAGCACATCAACACTCACATACAACCGCACAAAGTCACTCATGGTTTCACAGGCAAATTCCTTCCATAATTCATGAACAAAGACATAGTTTTCCTGGCTAATATTTTCATCAGACAAAGAACTGAAGAAGGATTCTTAGAAAGGTAAACATGTCTCATTCAATTTTTCCCAGTCATCCATGTATTCATAAGGAAAGGGAAGTTTGCTTGTTAACATGTTTCCATGATGGGGAAAGTGTTCTTTTAAAAAGACAAATGAATCTACACCTTTGTTCAATTGGTTTTGTGTCAGTGCATCTAATGAACTTTGCAGAAATTTATAACTATCCAAAAAGACCAAATTGTTATCCACTGTAAAAGACAGAAACTGTTCTGAATTGTGAGGGATGACTGTAATGTCTCTGTCGCCAAAGTGTTGTGCTACTTCCAGTATTAAGTGAGAATCATATCGCTCTGAGTTATGAAGCATGACAACCACTTTCTTGCGTAACTGAAATTCAGGTTACATTTATTATGCAAGATTTGTCGAAAACGTCCTGTCAGGTGGTCATGGTCTGACACTCGGTCAGTACCTAAAAGTTCTCCAGACAAACCACAATGGGTAGCATTGGCGATGGTTATCCATTGGTTTGATAGAATCCAACAAAGTCTGAATGATATCATATTCCCTTGCGTCCTTGCACCTTTTGGGCGCTGTCCCAATTGTCCTCCTTGCCTAATCATCAGCTGTTTGGAACCGATTTCGCAAGTGTGAAACTCGGATATTGCGGTTTTGTCGAGCTGTTATCACAGGTGGTGCACCAGGTCGCGGACAATCAGCAACACTTCCGGTAGCCCGAAAACGTTGTCTTAGTCGACTTACAGTGGATGGATGAACATTAAAGTGCCTGGCAATCATTACATCTGAAGCACCTTGGCTGACCATACCGATAACCTGATTCCTTTCGTCTTGTGTCAAGTGTGGCATTTTCTCAAAGTGATTGAGTTCCACAATTCCTTGTGCTTTTACAGGGCCTGGGTGCAGGTAATGCATGTGCACAACGTGTTTCATGAATGTGGTTGTGTTTACGAGAAATGTCAAAGGTTCAGTTTTAAGTATCAAAGTTCATGTGAGAGGAATGCTCCAGGACTCGAACTCGAAATCGGCCAGAATAACAGCCTTTTATCCCTACATCCTCTGTATCGCAGGAAAAAATCTTCAATAGAACGTTTGTAAGTTTCTGGACAACAAATACCAATTGCGTCTTTAATGGCTTACAGTATACTTTCAATAAAATGCTCAGCCGCCTGTTCTCCTACATAGGTTTGTACAGGCTGAGAGTACTGTTCCTCCGTGCACACCACTTTGTAAGCATAAGCACAGGGTACATGCTTATTAAGTCGTGAACTACCTTGGTTGCTTTCTGGAATGAGCAAGGACTTAAAATCAGCTACGATAACAAACTTGGCTCTTTCTGTTTTGCTTTGGGAACGTAAGCCAAACTGATACACAGCATCCTCTGGCTTTGGCATAACGACTCTTTGTGCCTTGACATAACAGTAGTCTTTATGCTTATCCAAGCATTGTTGTGATGTATAACACCAAAGACATTTGCGACAGATGAACCGAGAGCGGTTATTACGTTGCTTGTTTCTGACTAACCCACTTAAACTTGTAATGAGACAGTAATGTGTATTTGGTTTAACGTCTACGTCCATGTGTTCATGTTCTTCTAACCCTAAGATTCCTTCAAAATCATCAGATTCACTTTCTTGTGAAAGCAACAACAAATCAATCTTTCTGTTTGCATCTACATCTACCAGATTGCTGGTGTACATGGGAAACAAAGTATTATCTTCAAATCCATACACATTGATACTCAACTCATTGACTTCAACAGAACTTTTACAGAAGAAGAAGTGACTGAGCATGACACGGCACTCTTATGAGAAGTTAAATGACAGGACGATGTGCAACTGGAAACACACTTCAACAGTCCATGAAAGAGTTGAGGCAGTCTCGACAGACATTCTTGTTTTTAACAGTGTTAGGACATTTTCTGTCAGCGAACATACAAGCAACAGACAAGTAAGTATCGTTTAGAATATTTTGTCTTTGCCTTTTCTTTTATCATTTTAAACCATGTACATTTTAGAAATGTTCTATCATAACTTTAAACATTTCAGATAAACAAAGTAGAAGTTACCAAGAAAAGCATGTAATAGTGGATCGTATTCAAATTTTTAGTGGGTGAATAATTACGGGAAACAAAATGTCTGAGCATACTACATGTCTCGTCTTCCAAAATTTGAAATTTGAGGCCATCGTTTCAAACTAAAATGTCATTTGTTAAGACATCAGAGAAATTGCGGTCAAGTGGGTACATTGTTTACCTGCGACCATTGTCATCGATCGTTTAATCGGAAAGACAGTTTAAAACATCATGCCAAAAGTTGTTCCAAAAATGTTGTCTATTGTGTATGTGCGGCTGCTTGTACTAACCCAGACTGAAGCTGGTTTTATAGAGCTAGCCCACTGAGATACCATGCCGCAGTGAAGCATGAATACCCCACTCAGACACATTATACTGACTCCGAGTCAACTAGTCCTTGTTGTATCCATTAATGCCGAGCGTCAGGCAGAGTTAAACAAGTACCATATTTAAGATCTTTTAGTATGACGTGGTCGGAGATCGAACCAGCACCCTTCCGCTCTCCGGGTGGACGAACTCAATGAAGTGGGATAAATATTCTGTACCCAAAGCTGTGTGCACCCGTTACATTATGTTGTATACAGCACTGTATTGGTATGTTCAACTATTGTGAAGAGTTTCTAAATTCTGTTTTCCTTGATGTATCTTAATATTGTTCTTTTTCATCTTTTCTACGTGTTCATTCTGGGTGATAATGCTGAAGAGACATTATCCCTCACTCTCCATTAATAGATTTACTAAAAGGATCTAATATTTTATTTTGTTTACAGGTAACAACAGTGCGCAAAAGTAAATCAGAAGTGACAGACGCAACCTGTGAAGACTTCCAGTACAGTCACACTGAATGAATAAATACAAATAACATCCGCATTGTTGTTATCCTTTCTCCATGCTTCAACCCGTGAAGATCCGGGGTAGAATAGGTCTTCAGCAACCCATGTGCTTGCCATAAAAAGGCGACTATGCTTGTCTTAAGAGGCGACTAACGGGATCGGGTGGTCAGTTTCGCTGACTTGGTTGACACATGTCATCGGTTCCCAATTTCGCAGATCGATGCTCATGCTGTTGATCACTGGGTTGTCTGGTCCAGATTCGATTATTTACAGAGCGCCGCCATATAGCTGGGATATTGCTGAGTGCGGCGTAAAACTAAACTCACTCACTCACTCTCCATGCTTCAAGAACACTAGGAGTACGGGTTTCGTAGACGGAGTCACAGTGATTGTGTATTTTATGGTGTGATAGTTAACGTCTCTCGTAAGTGTCTCGTAGTGAGAGTTCGAAGATATCACCATCTAGATTATAAGTCTCTTTGACTAAGCTCTACACAACCGTAGGGAAGGTTTTTAGGTTTCATTATCTGATCCAAGTCACGTGACCACCATCAGGTACGACGTAAACAGCACAGGTGAGGAAAGGGAAATGAAAGGTGGTTTAAGACAGTAATGCAGAATACCCTTCATCAGACGAGAAAACGCATAGTTTAAAAGGACGCGCGCAAGGATGAGGTAGTCATGTCACCCTGCATTGTCGAGTTAAATAGCGTCACATAGTGGGAATTCAGAGTGATGTCGCGTAACTCTTTCCCCTGCGGATGAGAGGTTCATGTAAATAGCTGATGGTTGAGTGATGTAGCAGTGTGAAAGCATACAGCTAGGTTTGTTGAGAAAAGTAGTAGATTTTGGAAACATCATATCCTTCCAACTCATCAATATATCAGTCAGTTAGACTTGGACATACCATCACATAGACAACGTGATCAGACCGAAACCATCGTTCTCAACAAGGTCGACATGCATGACTGAGTATACAAGCAAGAGGTAGGTGTGTGCTTATGCTTGCACAATATATCAGTGTGGGTTTAGAAATAATAAGGAGCATCACACATGAGTGTGTACTTACGCTAGTTGCAGGTGTGTGCATAAATGAGGACACGAGTTGGATTTTATGTCGTTTTTAGCAATCCGGCAATATTCCAGCACATAGCAGACGGCAGATGAGCTTCACACATGGGGATTGAACCCGGGTCTTTGGTGTCACTAGCTTACATGCACACGGACAATGTAAACATACCAAATCCACATGCACTAGGAGTGAACAATCACTACAAGGACTTTTCTGGTTAAAACATTATTATATTTATATTGTGAGTCAGGTAACTCAGACGTGGAACCACGTTCACAGTGGTACAGGGGTAACATTACACCGAGGTTGTCGCTGTTTGCGGTGATAAATAGGGCATGGGTCGTCCCTCTCCCACCTCTCCTTCCTCCACATCCATCCTTCTTCCCAGTTGCCTAATTTGTTCCCGCAGCTGAACAACAGTCTCCAGTGGGTCTCTGCGTTCGCCGCGGCGGCAGGTGATCTTTCTGCGAAAGGTGATGATGATAACGCCTCCACCGATTCCTAGGATGCCCAGCACGAGGAGGGAGAACACGGCTTTACTCACTCGACCCACTTCTGAAATATTCAATTTATAACATAAACACATTTGTTAGTGTTAACAGTTTTGAACAGAATTATACGAAATTTTACGATGAGAGTACTAGACGACCGATGGGAAGATATCATCAGTGGATAGTGACAGTGTGTTTCAAACTCATGTGCAAACACCTTGCACTTTTGCATTACAAAAAATAATCTATTTATAACATATTTTGTATAGACTCTGCATAGTGAGAAACCGGCTTGGTGAACGCGTGAGTAAATTCATCCATAACAGGGGCGGATACAGCTTTTTGAGAAAGGTGGGGTGCACACTATTAAGAAAAGGAGGGGTGCACACTTCATTTTCACCCGAGTTTCAATGGTCATTTAACAAACTTTCAGCACAAAAGGGGATGTGCGCACCCCTGCGCACCCCTGCACTCCCCCACCTCTGGATCCGCCTATCCATAACTACAACGAGGAAACGTTCATGCTTTAGAGAGATCACTATCGCAAGCTCACCTATATCGCTATTGTAACAGGGATGAAGTTGTTGGACGAGACTAATGTAGATTGGTGTTTAGTGAACAATACGGTTGAAGTAAGAACATCGACACATGTGTAACCTAACCTATCTGTCCCCCGTGTACCTTCACTGTTCGCTATGCTTACTTGAACTCACCCTCGCCTATTCTTTCGAGGGTAGGTTATATAGTGAATTCGATACATTTCAGTTCTGTTAATCCTAAGTCTAACATAAATTGTGATAATCAAGATTTGATGTACATGTACTCACCTCCTATTACGGTAAGCTGTTCGTTGTTGTTGTTGTTGTTTCTGTCCACGTGTTTACCCCGGAGAAACATCGCACAAGCACCATTCATATGTCGTTTTAGATTACTTCGCAGAATAACTACAGAGATGCTGTCCACCTTAATAAGTCATTATGATGCTAACACTCATTTTTAAACGTATTTTTAAAACTTGTGCAGAATAAGTGACTAATTAGTTTTTCATCGAAATGCAAGTTAGTTTGCATTTGTTTTTTTAGTCTACTTGATTATATAGGCAACACTGATAAATCTCGAAAGTGTAATATATATATATATATATATCAGTATTTAAGCAATACGTATAGGTGCGATATGAATAAAAAATATTGTTAAAGAAACTTTAAATCTTAACTCACTAAAGTAATACGTTCGATTTATTTTAACGTAGACTGCTACCTGTTGCAATTTTTATTAACCCTAAGTTGGCAGCGGTTTTCCCCGCATATTAGTAATAATAATATTATTATATAGCAATAAATATGAAATTTATCCTACACTATCGCGATGTTGATGATATATAAAGTGTGAGAGCAAGAACACATTTGTGAATTTCCTCGTTCATAGTAGAAATTGTTAATAGTTGTTCATACTTGCCTAGTATACGGTACGTATAACGTACACAAAATCATTATCTGAGCGGTTTATTACTCCTATCAAGATGTATAAATTTGTGAATATCACCTTTGTTCAAGACAATCGCATGAACATAATTATAAACCGCTTATCAGACAGATAAAGTAATCTGTATCACATGATAAATAATACGTGATTGTGGTAACATATGTGATGATCGAAAATGAAAAAAGTTCTCGTTTTAGCCTAACTGCTATAATTCTATCTAACGATCTATCGCTTGATACAGCATGATGATAATAACGAATTTCAATAAGAGTGAAAACATTGAGGATACCTGTATATGGTAGACTTTTTTGATGAGGTAAGATGCACAAAATGATTAAACAAAAAGAGATAGAGTACTGAAACATCTACTCTATATAAATAATGAATATACTCACCTTCTATAAGCTGTCTTTGAATTCTTCGCGGAATCGATGAACCTCCACAATAGCATCGGATTTTATCAAATATTCTACAACTGTTTTCATATGTTCTGTATCCAATACCACATCATGGTCAGTGTCTAATTTCTGAATGGTAAGTTCTCCAAACAATCGATCAAAACTAAAATGAAAGTTCTTGATAATACGAATCAACAAACAACATGTGATGACGTTGTGTATCTTAGATTTAAAATTTCTAACTTCTTGAAAAAAGTCGATAAATAATGCTATTAATTTCGAAGCTGTTTCGTAATCAAAAATAATATCCGAAGCGTTATTATCCAAGTGTTTTAGTAGTCAATCAAGATTGCATGCAATACAGAGAGAGAGAGAGAGAAATCCCTGGACTTTGCAAAATCAATTTTTGAACAGCGTCACTACATTTTTAAATTTGCCTGCAAGAGGAACTTTAATATCCTAGATATTTTAATGGCTCACTCAGCAATATTCAAACTGTATGGTGGCGGTTTTAAATTATGGAATATGGAATTGCTGTATTCAAACAAGTAACTGACCCGATCCCGTTAGTTGCCTCTGACGGTATGAGTTACTGAAGACCAATTCTAACCCGGATCTTCACGTTTGGGTCGTCATTTAATACAGAGCAGGGAGGGAGAAGCAAGTGAACATATGTTGTTTTTCTTTTTGTTGGGGTTTGAGAGGGGTGATAGATGTTTTCACAACTAAAAGTTGACACTGTTCTTTCAAATTGTATTTAAAATTAAATTAGAAAAGTATCTTGGGTACATTAAGATGAGAAGAGTATTGAGTGAGATAGATAGGGCTGAAAATCTAATCGATAACATATAACAGCCTTATGATGTGAATGTTAGTTCAGTTGACAAAATACAGTCAATTATTCGTAGTATATCCTGATGCCCGATTATTCTATGTTTTTGGGTCGATGATTAAGCTGTTCAACCCAGGACCAGCACCAGGGAAGTAATATTCAGCCCATATTGCTCGGCCTGAATATAAGGTTCAGCACTAAAGAGTTAATCAGTATGAGACGGAGCTACTGGAAGCTGGTACAGTACAGCTGAAACAGTACAGCTGTCACAGTTTCTGTTGACATAACACTAGGTATTGTTTGGAAACTAATATATGTCTGTGTTGGTGAGTTGCTGTCATCTAAACATCCACCACTCGATGTTGCAGATGTTCAGGGTTTGGGAATTGCAGTGTCATTGTGTTGCTCCGTAGAAGCACAGTGTGGTGATTATTTATTGATAAGGTGAGACAATATGCATCTTGTATTCACCTGTTTATTACTCAGGTATCTAATATTCTCTTGAACGGTCCGTTTTATATCGGTTTGTCTTACAAAACTGTGCTTGTGTTTAATAGTGTTTCCATAAATGGCTAAATGGTTTATGCCCAAGCAGTATTGTACCTTGGCAGAATGTAGGTTATCTGATCTGTGCCAGGCAAACAAGCTACACGAGTGACTTCGGTTTGATGATATCAAAGACTTTTTACTTTGTCACCAGTATTTCTGCCGAAGTCACTGTTCCATGGAACTCCGGAAAATCTTTGGCCTCATTAATCATCATTTACAAAACGTGGGGTACACCTGGTCCTGATTTTTATCCCAGAACACCTCAAAACAATCTTAGCTTAACCTGATCCTAACTCAATTTCTTTACCACTGATTAAGCGCTAAGATGATTTGTGGACAGAACCCTGGCTAGTCTGTCTCACAGTCCCTGAACCACATTATTTCTAACCCCTACTTCGTAGCCATCTCACAGGGGCTCCTTTTCAATTTAAATGGCTGTATTTGTTACTATCAACATTATATATATTCAGAGACTAAGCGTTAGTCTTGACTCAGGCATTCTTTCTCTCATTTTGCACAGCTGACGGACAACTACTCTCCTCTACCCTCCCTCTTGATGGTAGCCATGTTATCTCTGTTTGTACTGGTTCTGTGTGGGTCCGTCTCCATTGGTCACAGCTTCCTCCTTGGTGGACCAACTACGTCAGTGGATCCAGGACAACCTCTCTTCCTGTCTCCGTACATCGCTGGAGGACACATTCAACAAGGTACTCTACAGTACTCTGGCACAAATTGGTCACAACTGTTTGTGGGGGAGGGGAGGATGGAGGGGAGTCCATGAAAAATGTCTCTGTTTTTCAACAAAAAATATAAGAAATAAGAACATTGTTTACATTGTTTTACATTGACTGGCCATTCTGTTGGGATAGGATTGCACTGCTGAGTCAGCAAAATATAAGACAGTCTGAGACCAACTGCCAACCCAGCTTGAATTTTGGATTTTGTTAAAATAAAACTTTTTAGTTTTAAAATATTTAAAAAGACAATGGTACCTATGTTTTGTGGTTCCTACTCAGAAAGTCACCATGTGTAATTTCAGGTCTGAATCATCACTGAAACGGTTGAGTGGTTCCGAATGATGATGTTATAATGTTGTGGTATTACGTGTGGTTAGTTCATGCTGATGTGGTCAAACCAAACTATGTGTGCTGTCTCATCCCATTATGTTATAATTACACGTGAAGATCCGGGTTAGAATTGCATTTTCAGACCACCGCCATATAGCTGCAATATTGCTGAGTGCGGCGTTATACAACAACAACAACAACAACAACAACAACAACAACAACAACAACAACCAACAAGGTTAAAACGTCTTCAGCAACCCATGCTAGCCGTCAGAGGCGACTAACGGAATAAGGTAGTCAGGTTCACTGACTTGGTTGAGACATGTCATCGTATCCCAATTACGTAGAACGATGCTCATGCTACCATACAGGTGGAATATTGCTAAGTGCGGCGTTATACAACAACCAAACAAAACGGTCCCTGCCTGGCGCTCGGCATGAATGTGTACAACAAGGACTGGTCGGCTCGGAGTCAGTATGTGTCTGAGTGGGGTATTCATGCTTCACTGCGGCATGGTATCTCAGTGAGCTAGCACTATAAATCCAACTTAAGTCTGGGCTAGTACAAGCAGCCGCACATACACATACACACGCATGCACGTCGTCATATGAGCGAAATATTCATAAGAACGACGTTAAATCCAATTTCACCTCATCTCACCCTACCTCACCAAACAAAACACATTCATCTCATTATGAAATGAATGGGATGTTGTGCTGCGATGTAATTGGTTGAAAAATGGTGACAGATTCGATTTTGATCCGAGATTTGTTATGTTATAGGGGAAAAATGAAAACTGATCAATATTTATAAGTGCAACTTTGAATATTTTGGCCAACTAGGTGAATTCATTTGTGAATTCATCTTCACCACCACCTCACCCTCTTCACCACACCACACCTGACCTGACCCTCCTAACCTCAAATCACCGTTTAGTCTCCTCACGTTCATCATCTCCTCACATCAACACCTCACCACACCACGCCATGTCACACCTCACCTTCACCACCACCTCACCTCACCCTCTTCACCACGCCACACCTCACCTCACCCTCCTAACCTCACCCCCCTTAGTCTCCTTACCTTCACCATCTCCTCACATCAACACCTCACCACACCACGCCATGTCACACCTCACCTTCACCACCACCTCACCCCACCCTATTCACCACGCCACCTCACCTCACCTCACCCTCCTAACCTCACCCCTCCTTAGTTTCCTTACCTTCACCATCTCCTCACATCAACACCTCACCCACCACGCCATGTCACCTCACATCTGCACCTTCACCACCTCACCACGCCATGTCACACCCCACCTTCACCACCTCACCTCACCCTCTTCACCACAGATCACCTCACCCTCTTCACTCCACCATTGCCACATATAGCTTGGATGAGTGAGTGAGTGAGTTATTATTTAGCGTCCCATCGGCAATATCGTGACGAGAACAATCTAATTTATATCCATATGAAAATCAACAAAGTTAGAACATAAAAACCTGTCATCGAAGGACAGAAAAATACTAGAGTATCACAGATATATAAATTTAAAACTAGTACGCTGTCGTAAAATTAAATCACTATAGACAATACAACATATAGCTTGAATATTGATATGTGCAACTTTGAATATATTGGCCAACTAGGTGTATTCAGTTGTAACATCCTCATTTCACCTTATCTGCTTACTACCGCTTAACCTCAATACACCTCAACACATCACCTCACCTTAGCTTTTCCCTACATTCACCATCTCCTCACATCATCACCTCACCACAACATACCACAACACGTCACGTCACACCTCACCCGACTTCACCCTCTTCACCACCCCACTCCTCACCCTGTTCATCTCACCTCGGGGCGGTGGGATAGCCTAATTGTTAAAGCGTTCGCTCGTCACGCCGAAGACCCGGGTTCGATTCCCCACATGGGTACAATGTGTGAAGCCCATTTCTGGTGTTCCCCGCCGTGATGTTGCTGTCATATTGCTCTCTCGTTTCCTGCTGACTGGGTTCCGTCCTATTGCGCACCTTAGTACAATAACCAGACAGACTCATTCAACTAGATATGTAAATATTAATCAGTATTATTTGATACATCTAATCACTTGTATATTGCATCCTTCTAATCCTTGCAAATACGTCGTGCAGCGTGTAGTCAATGTTTTGACTTGGCGAGGTGAAATGAAGGTGAGGTGAGGTGTGGGGTGGTGAAGTCGGGTGAGGTGAGGTGTGACATGGCGTGTTGTGGTATGTTGTGGTGAGGTGTTGATGTGAGGAGATGGTGAAGATATCTACACAGCTTGAAACTTGTAGTTTCAAAAACTTGACAATTGAAGCATAACTTACATATCTTAAAAATATCAAATACAATTTGCCAGACAATTCCTATTAAATATGATCCTCAGCTCTGCCAATATTACTGAGACTTAATGACCCGTGAAGGTCCGGGTTAGAATTGATCTTCAGTAACCCATGCTTGTCATAGGCGACTAACGAGATCGGGTAGTCAGGCTCACTGACTTGGTTGACACATGTCATAGATTCCCAGTTGCGCAGATCGATGCTCATGATATTGATCACTGGATTGTCTGGTCCAGACTCGATGATCTACAGACCGCCGCCATACAGCTTGAATATTGCTGACTGCGGCGTTAAACTAAACGCACTCACTGAGACTTAATACATGGACGCAGTACTGAAAGTAGCTAAAAAAACAAAGAGGTGAGATGATGGAAATGTCTCACAAATTGCATTGATATTTCTAAGATCTGTAAGTTATGCTTCAATTGTTAAGTTATTTTTCAAACCAGAACTACAAATTTCATGCAGTTATATTCAATGTTTTCACTAACTATTGTTACAGCCCAGAATTTGAGTCGTGTAGGCTCCCTTCAAGGCTCATCGATACTGAGTTACAGTGGCTACATCACCGTCAACGCAGACTTCAACAGCAACCTGTTCTTCTGGTTCATACCTGCACAGGTAAACAGCACCTTTCAATTACACATGCACAAGACATTCCTTTTATGAGAGTATTCAATTTAGAAAACTCCTCCATTAAGTCACTTCAGTCTGGAATCTCATAGCAATTGGTATGCTGGAACAGTATCCATGGTAGCGTAGTTGAAATAGGGGAGAAAACTCCTCCATTAAGTCACTTCAGTCTGGACTCTCATAGCACTTGGTATGCTGGAACAGTCTCCATGGTAGCGTAGTTGAAATAGGGGAGAAAACTCCTCCATTAGGTTACTTCAGTCTGGACTCTCATAGCAATTGGTATGCTGGAACAGTCTCCATGGTAGCGTAGTTGAAATAGGGTAGAAAACTCCTCCATTAAGTCACTTCAGTCTGGACTCTCATAGCAATTGGTATGCTGGAACAGTCTCCATGTCAGCGAAGTTGAAATAGGGGAGAAAACTCCTCCATTAGGTTACTTCAGTCAGGACTCTCATAGAACTCGGTATGTTGGTACAGTATCCATGGTAGCGTAGTTGAACCAAGGGGAGAAAACTCCTCCATTAAGTCACTTCAGTCTGGACTCTCATAGCACTTGGTATGCTGGAACAGTATCCATGGTAGCGTAGTTGAAACAAGGGGAGAAAACTCCTCCATTAAGTCACTACAGCGTACTGTAACTTAAGAGCTCTTGTCAAGAATTTGGTTCAGTGAGTATTATTGTGCATCCCTTGGCACACAGTGTATTTTGTTTTGCGTCCATTCTATACATTTGTTCTGGATGCACATTTCTCGTAAAACCATGCTGGTAATATTAAGACCAGGGAAGTTATAAAGGGTTCCAAACAATCTGCCTGTCGAAGGGAAGCGGGGGAAACTATTTGTTTGCTGTATACAGAAATCTTCTTCAATAATTACATTGAGAGAGGACTATATCTTCTTCCTCTTAATCATGTTCGTTCGCCTCATTATCAAGGGTCTACAATTCTTTACAAGGCCAATGCATTACCAATAGCTATGTCAGAAAGGAAGGATTTTAATTCCAGTTAGGGAATCTTCCTTTGCTACACACTTGAGGACTAATTTCCGTCTCTGGGCAAGGATAGATAAATCTCTTATATCCAGATATTTTAAAAGAGTTTGTTTTCACCTTCCTGCAAAATTGTTGCTATGGTATGAACTGCACAAAGACAAACAATTTGGTAACTTTTTCTGCCCAATTTGAGTTATATTTTAAATTTTCAGATTTGTTTTAATTGTTAAGTTGGGGAACTAGAGAATGTGGTGGACAGAAATAGTTAGGGATTATGTATTTTTAAAATTATGAATGATGATCTATTTATTAATTGACCCACTGATAAAATATCAATCATAAAAATACCAATATCCCTAACTTATTTTGTCCAGTATATTACGTAGCCAAATCCAACAGAATGCATACCCTTTATACACTGTTTCCAAAGATATATTAAACGTCATTGCAAAAGACATACCAGTCTTGAGTGCCATTAGAAACATAGTTGTGTAAAGGGCAAAATAGCTGTAAACTATATATGGAGTGAGCTTTTCGCATTATTCCATCAATATCACGTACGGCAGGGAACGCCAGAAATGGGCTTCACACGTTGTACTCATGTGGGAAGTCGAACCCGGGTCTTCGGCGTGACGAGCAAACGCTTTAACCACTTGGCTACCCCACTACCCTAAACCTTATATGGATGGAGCACTGAAAATCAGTGATAACACCAGTCGGTCACGAAGCAGAAGTTAAAGGGAGTAATCATTCCACGCCGTGAGTCAAGATTAAGTTGCAGAAAGTGATTAGCACTACGACAATAGTGAGCCTGTTTTACAGCCTAGAAGTATCGACTATCATAGCTTAAATCACTTTATCCAAACGGGTCTAGTTACACAGCTGAGTTTAGAGCATAGCGCCAGTTAGAGACCGGGGTGTATCGGATCATCATGGTTAGCATTTATTTGAGGAAAAACGGTACGGGCCATAATATACGAGTGAAACTACAATGCATTGTCAAAAAAACACATTACCTCAAAGAAAGAAACTTACCAATGATGTCAGTTCTGTAAGAAGGTGGTTCATTAAAACTAAGTTTTATAAGTAAACATGACTGAGTAATTGTTCCTCTGACCCTCACTATTGACTATTGCTGTACAATTAGTTACAGGTGTCATTCGCAGGGTGGGCACGATTTTATTAGCCGCAACAACATGAATATAGAAGGTTGAAGGGAGGAAGGAGTCTTTCAAGCAGTAAAATACTGTACACCTTAACACTGACGTGCAACAAATGTATCGTAGTAAATTCACGGGATACAAGAATGTCTGTTGAAATATGTTTATGTGGTACTAAGTTTTTTTGTTTGTCTGTTGTTTATGGCTGTATTCAGCGATTTTCAAGCTATATGACCGTTTTCTGTAAGTAGTCAAGTCTGTATCAGACAAACAAGTGATCAACAGCATGAGCACCGATCTACGAAATTGAACTACAGCGACCATCCAAGTTAACCAAGTCAGCGAGCCTGCACACACAATTCTGTTAGTCATTTTGTACAACAGGCATGGGTTACTGAACCCCAAATTTAGCCCAGATCTTCACAGATCAGATTAACTGTATAATTATGCCTACTATCAGCCTCGCAATATTTAGCAAAATAAAAACAGGTTAAATTATGATATTCCAAGGAAATGACATCACATCAAACATTATGGCTTCGTAATGTTCTTTCAGACCAGTGCACATTGTGTGTATAGGCCAAAACAAACATCAGGATTAGTATTAAATTAAAAAACCTCATTAGAGAAATAGAACCAGTTGCAAGTGTGACAACCCCGAGGGAGAGAATGGGGGTTTTATGGTTCATACAAATCCACAGAGGCATTTTAGCTTGCATACATATGAACCTTAAATGTAAAGTATCTGATGCTGGTGCACGTGTACTTGAATAAGCATTGTGGTTTATAAGCACCTGTGAAGTCTTGCCATTCACACACATGGTTCACGCACAGGTTCCATGAATAGTAAATTCAACCCAAGGAAATATTAAGAGGACATTTGCCATTCTATTTTATATCATCCTGTACAATTCCTTATGTAGATTGTATTTAAATGCAAAGTATACTTACCTGCAAATGAAACACAATTCAGGAAGTCAAAACAATTGTGCTAAAGTATCAAATCCAAACTGAAAAAGTATAATGTTCATGAATTTTGAGTTGCGTGTTTATTGCTGGCAGTATATATGTTATTTGAGGTATATTCTGTAAGAATTCCCTGGCATAGAAGAATTGTAAAATAGCCAGAGGATGTACTGCTTAGAGGGTATTTTACAAAATGAAGGCCTCATAAAAATAACAGGATAATGTCACTAGCGATAAAGGGGTTCAAGAAGATGATGACCAGCCACCCAGTATGGTAGATTTGATTAAGAGTAATGATTAGGTTTGGTTGATTCCATTGCAGCATGCTGACCCCCATACAGCTCCTCTGTTACTGTGGCTTGAGGGCGGCCCGTGGGGCAGCTCCTTGTTTGCCTTGTTTGTACAGAACGGACCATTTGTTGTGGACAAAGACTTGAAACGTAAGTTACCACACAATTAATATTTCCAAAACTGGAGGATAATTTGAGAAATGATTAGCATTGTTTAACCATAGAATGGTAGCTTTCATAAACAGGTGCATGTCAATGCCATTTAATAAGTCTGAGCAAGACTGTTATTTCACTCCCATGGTGATATACTTTGTATATATTCATGGATTAAAGTATTAGGATTCCTAGAGGAACTTTAAGGCAATTAAATATAGGAATTTATTTGTTTTATAATGAAGTCATATTTGGCTTCCACAACCCAAACACCCACCCACCGCCCACGTCCATTTTGCGTAAAACTTTATTGTGAGCCCTCTCCAATGCATGTTTCAACCAGAGCTAAACATATATCCATCTATCCATTGTGTCGTATCATAGCATCGAAAGACATGTTTTGTATCCTTTTGTATCCAAAGTGACTTATATTTTTCTTACCAAATCTGAAAAAGAGACTTTTTCATGAATTGTTCTCATTGGATTGCCAAAATACATCTGAAATGGAGAAAATAAGGATGTTTTATCAAAATGAATCTTTTTCCGTGTTCTCCTGTCACAGACACTAAAACCAACATCTGAGATAAATCCTCATACTTTTTTATCTTTCAGTGTCACTGCGGAAGACCGACTGGTCACTCAAGTATTCCATGTTATTTATCGACAACCCTGTAAGTCCTGAGCTGTTTGTAACAATAATTAATGAGATTTCTTGACAACCCTGTAAGTTCTGAGCTGTTTGTAACAATAATTAATGGGATTTCTTGACAACCCTGTAAGTACTGAGGTGTTTGTAACAATAATTAATGGGATTTCTTGACGAATCTGTGAGTACTGAGGTGTTTGTAACAATAATTGATGAGATTTCTTGACAACCCTGTAAGTACTGAGATGTTTGTAACAATAATTAATGAGATTTCTTGACAACCCCTGTAACAATAATTAAAGATTTCTTACTGAGATGTTTGTAACAATAATTAAATGAGATTTCTTGACAACAACCCTGTAAGTACTGAGAGGTGTTTGTAACAATAATTAATGGGATTTCTTGACAACCCTGTAAGTACTGAGATGTTTGTAACAATAATTAATGAGATTTCTGTGACAACCCATGAGTAAGTAAGTACTGAGATGTTTTGAACAATAATTAATGAGATTTCTTGACAACCCTGTAAGTACTGGAGGTGTTTGTAACAATAATTAATGGATTTCTTTGACAACCCTGTGAGCAGCACTGAGGTGTTTCTGTAACAATACCTTAATGGGATTTCTTTTGACAACCCTGTGTAATTTTCTGAGGTGTTTTGTAACCAATCATTAATGAGATTTCTTGACGTTTCCTGTAAGTTCTGAGAGCTGTTTTGTAACAATAATTAATCGGGATTCCCTTGACTGGGAACCTGCCAACAAGTACTGAGATGTTTGTAACAATAATTGATGAGATTTCTTGCTAACCCTGTGGAGTACTGAGATGTTTGTAACAATAATTAGTGAGATTTCTTCTGACAACCCTGTGACGTACTGAGATGTTTGTAACAATAATTAATAAGATTTCTTCACAATCCTGTGAGAGTACTGAGGTGTTTGTAACAATAACAGTGTAATGGGATTCTCTGGATGACAGATCTGTAAGTACTGAGGGTGTTTGTAACAATAATTCCCTGGGATTTCTTGACAACCCTGTAAAGTACTTGAGATGTTTGTATTTCTACCACCATTAATGGGATTCCTTGACAAACCTGTAAGTACTGAGGTGTTTGTAACAATAATTAATGAGATTTCTTGACAACCCTGTAGAGTAGTACTGAGGGATGTTTGTAACAATAATTAATGAGATTTCTTGACAACCCTGCCACTAAGTACTGAGGTGTTTGTAACAATAATTAATGGGATTTCTTGACGAATCTGTGAGAGTACTTGAGGTGTTTGTGGGTAAACAATAATTGATGAGATTCCTTGAGAACCCTGTAAAAAGTACTGAGATGTTTGTAACAATAATAATTAATTAAGATTTCTTGACAACCCCGCAAAAGTACTGAGATGTCGGTGTAACAATAATTAATGAGATTTCTTCACAACCCTGTAAAAGTACTGAGGTGTTTTGTAACAATACCAGTGTGGGATTTCTTGACGAATCTGTGGAGTACTGAGGTAAATTGTAAAAGCCAATAACTTGATGGGAATTTCTTGCTAACCCTGTAAGTACTGAGATGTTTGTAACAATAATTAATGAGATTTCTTCACAACCCTGTAAGTACTGAGGTGTTTGTAACAATAATTAATGGGATTTCTTGACAGATCTGTGAGTACTGAGGTGTTTGTAACAATAATTGATGAGATTTCTTCACAAACCCTGTAAGTACTGAGATGTTTAATAACAATAATTAATGAGATTTCTTGACAACCCTGTAGGAGTACTGAGATGTTTGTAACAATAGTGTGAGATTTCTTGACAACACCCTGTAAGTACTGAGGTGTTTGTAACAATAGTGTCGTTCTTGACGAATCTGTGAGTACTGAGGTGTTTGTAACAATAATTGATGAGATTTCTTGCTAACCCTGTAGTACTGAGATGTTTGTACCAATAGTGTGAGATTTCTTGACAACCCTGTAAGTACTGAGGTGTTTGTAGCTCTAATAATTAATGGGATTTCTTGACGAATCTGTAGTACTGAGGTGTTGTAACAATAATTGATGAGGATTTCTTCACAAACCCTGTAAGTACTGAGATGTTTGTAACAATAATTAATGAGATTTCTTGACAACCCTGTAAGTACTGAGATGTTTGTAACAATAGTGAATGAGATTTCTTGACAACACCCTGGAAGTACTGAGGTGTTTGTAACAATAATTAATAAGATTTCTTGACAACCCTGGAAGTCCTGAGATGTTTGTAACAAAAATTAATAAGATTTCTTGACAACCCTGAAAGTTCTGAGCTGTTTGTAACAATAATTAATGGGATTTCTTGACGAATCTGTGAGTACTGAGGTGTTTGTAACAATAATTGATGAGATTTCTTGACAACCCTGTAAGTACTGAGATGTTTGTAACAATAATTAATGAGATTTCTTGACAACCCTGTAAGTACTGAGATGTTTGTAACAATAATTAATGAAATTTCTTGACAACCCTGTAAGTACTAGGATGTTTGTAACAATAATTGATGAGATTTCTTGACAACCCTGTAAGTACTGAGGTGTTTGTAACAATAATAATTAATAGAGATTTCTTGACAACCAGTAGAGTACTGAGATATTTGTAACAATAATTAATGAGATTCTTGACAACACCCTGTAAGTACTGAGGTGTTTGTAACAATAATTAATAAGATTTCTTGACAACCCTGTAAGTTCTGAGATGTTTGTAACAATAGTGTGGCTTCTTGACAACCCTGTAAGTTCTGAGATGTTTTGTAACAATAATTAATGAGATTTCTTCACAACCCTGTAAGTACTGAGGTGTTTGTAACAATAATTAATGGGATTTCTTGACGAATCTGTGAGTACTGAGGTGTTTGTAACAATAATTGATGAGATTTCTTGACAACCCTGTAAGTACTGAGATGTTTGTAACAATAATTAATGAGATTTCTTGACAACCCTGTAAGTACTGAGATGTTTGCTTGTAACAATAATTATTGAAATTTCTTGACAACCCTGTAAGTACTGGGATGTTTGTAACAATAATTGATGAGATTTCTTGACAGCCCTGTAGAAGTACTGAGGTGTTTGTAACAATGATTAACTAGATTTCTTGACAACCCTGTAAAGTACTGAGATATTTGTAACAACAATAATTAATGAGATTTTCTTGACAACACTGTAAGTACTGAGGATGTTTTGTAACAATAATTAATAAGATTTCTTGACAACCTGTAAGTACTGGGATGTTTGTAACAATAATTGATGAGATTTCTTCACAACCCTGTAAGAGTACTGGAGGTGTTTATAACAATGAATTAGGGATTTCTTGACGAATCTGTGAGAGTACTGAGGTGTTTTGTAAGCAATAATTGATGAGATTTCTTCACAGAACCCATGTACGCATTGCTGAGATGTTTGTGGCAATAATGTAATGAGATTTCTTGACAGCCCTGGAAGTACTGAGATGTTTTGTAACAATAGTTAATGAGATTTCTTGACAACACCCTGGAAGTACTGAGGTGTTTGTAACAATAATTAATAAGATTTCTTGACAACCCTGGGAAGTCCTGGGATGTTTGTAGCAATAGTGTGAGATTTCTTGACAGCCCTGTCAGTACTGAGATGTTTGTAACAATAATTGTGGGGAATTTCTTGACAGCCCATAGCAGGTACTGGGATGTTTCAACAATAATTGATGAGATTTCTTGACAACCCTGTAAGTACTGGGGTGTTTGTAGCAATGATTAACTAGATTTCTTGACAACCTGTAAGTACTGGAGATATTTGTAACAATAGTGTGAGATTTCTTGACAACCCTGTAAGTCCTGAGATGTTTGTAACAATAATTAATGAGATTTCTTGGCTTAACCCTGTAAGTTCTGAGCTGTTTGTAACAATAACTAATGGATTTCTTGACAACCTGTGAGTACTGAGGTGTTTGTAACAATAATTAATGGGATTTCTTGACAGATCTGTGAGTACTGAGGTGTTTGTAACAACACTGAGTGAGATTTCTTGTGACAACCCTGTAAGTACCTGAGATGTTTGTAACAATAGTGAATGAGATTTCTTGGACAACTTTCCTAGTATTACTGAGGTGTTTGTAACAATAATTAATAAGATTTCTTGACAACCCTGCTTAGTCCTGAGATGTTTGTAACAAAAATTGATAAGATTTCTTGACAACCTGAAAGTTCTGAGCTGTTTGTAACAATAATTAATGGGATTTCTTTGACGAATCTGTGAGTACTGAGGTGTTGCTGTAACAATAATTGATGAGATTTCTTGACAACCCTGTATAGTACTGAGATGTTTGTAACAATAATTAATGAGATTTCTTGACAACCCTGTAAGTACTGAGATGTTTGTAACAATAATTATTGAAATTTCTTGACAACCCCTGTAGAGTACTGGGATGTTTGCAACAATAATTGATGACCTTCTGGTTCAATTCCTGTAACAAAGTACTGAGGTGTTTGTAACAATGATTAAACTCCTAATTTCTTGACAATAATTTCCTGTAAGTACTGAGATATTATTTGTAACAATAATTAATGAGATTTCTTGACGAATCTGGTACTGATACTGTGTAATATTGATGTTTGTACAATATAAGTTCTAATAAGATTTCTTAGTATTGACAACCCTGTATGTAGTACTGGGATGTTTGTAACAATAATTGATGAGATTTCTTCACAAACCCTGTAAGTATTTTGAGGTGTTTATAACAATAATTAATGGGATTTCTTTGACGAATCTGTGAAATTACTGAGGTGTTTTGTAACAATAATTGATGAGATTTCTTCACAAACCCTATGCATTTTGAGATTGCTTGTAACAATAATTAATGAGATTTCTTGACAACCCTGGGAATTACTGAGGATGTTTGTAACAATAGTTAATGAGATTTCTTGACAACACCCTGGAAGTACTGAGGTGTTTGTAACAATAATTAATAAGATTTCTTGACAACCCTGGAAGTCCTGATGTTTGTAACAATAATTAATGATTTCTTGACAACCCTG